ATTGGTCTGGATTTAGGTTTGGTATATATAATCTCTATGGATTTCTGTTGTATACTTCGATTTATTCTCTGGGATAGCGAGGAAAAGTTGATTTTGACCATTCTTCTTGGATATTCAGATACTGATTGAAGAATTTTTTTGTTGCTTCTGATTTCGATGGTGATGTGAGTTGGAATTTCTTGAATGATATTAAAGATTGCCAGTAGAATGTTGCCTGGTAATAAGCAGAAGTTGAGTGGTCTTATTTCAATTTCATTTATAAATAAGTTACTTTAGTGTGATTGAATATGGTAATGTTGCTGCAGGCTGAGATTTTGTAGTAATGATTGGGGAGGATGATTGATAGAAATATTAAATTTTTGGAGGATATGTTTGTTGTTAAGAGATGAGTTGACAACCTCGTCGATTATATTGAGCAAGTAATATTTGAATCTATTAAAGGGGTTAAAAGTAACCTATAGTGTGAAGGCTGATATGCTCGTAAATGGTATCCAACAGAAACTATGAGAGGATATACCAATCAGGCAGTCTGAACATCTGGTAAGATTATTGTCAGGGTCTATGGTAAAATGTTTACCTCTGAGTAGTGTTTTTCCATTTATCGAAATATATCTTTTGCGAGTTTTGACAATTGTATTTATATTGTGCAGGAATCAAAATGTTGTCTTAGGATTTGGAATTGGATCATGGGTTCCAAAAAGGTTTTTGGTATTTACAAATGTTTTGAACCAATTAGGCTCCGGACCCAAGTGAATTATTTCTATATGTATAGCAAGTTGTGGCCAGAAAAGTTTGGTAGTGTGATTATATTTTAGTAGTTAATTAGACCTATGGGTCCATAGTATAGTGGTTAATACTTCACAGGTCAGATCACAAGATACCAGTTCAACTTCAGGTAAAGGCAGTTGAATCGAATTAAAAATGGTATCTGGGACCATAATCTACTAAGCCCTGTTTCCCATAAGAAGTCATTCATACACTGATCCAGTGGGATGTTGGGATTACGATCTCTAAGAAAAGTGCAAGGCGGAATGATAGTCTAGAAGCAGTATGATGATTATCTGACAAAAGCCTGAACCAACCATACATTTGAATATACAGACTGGGCTGTGTTTTATTTTAATCAATCCGAGCGATATTCCTCATTCTACTTACTTTTGAATAAGGCAACTTTGAAGAAACATACTGAACTGACACTAATGTCATGTGTGACATGAGACTCCTGATGGCTTACCGTGTTTATAGGAGTTGCATCCTGCTTGGCATTCGTGCCTCTAGATTTGGCAGCTTATGCCAACTGGTCCCTTTGGATATGTCTACTAGGAAACAGGGATCTTGAAAGTGAGGTAGTCAAAAGTCATTTGTTTGACCTATATAGTCCCTGCAAATTCGCACCCCAATTGGTCAAAAAAAGACCCCTAGGTTTGATAGCTGATAACCAATCAAAGGATGAAAAAGGTTCGGAGCATTTACTAGGAAGTATAGACCAATATGAAGATCCCTCTGCCACATTAGTTGTGTGAGTAAAAAGATGTGTAGTGATGAGTTACTTATAGAGAATAGTAAGTAGTATTCCATTGTCCCTACATAAAAATTGGACCAATAGGTTAGATGGTTAAAAAAGATAGATAGTTTACTCCTCCAAAAGATCAACATAGCTATTATTACCAAATTTGATGTTGTTTACTTACTGATGGCCAGACTAGATATACCTAAAAAGCTGTTATACAACTATTACTATCTAAACCTTTCTGGAGTTGCGTCCTATTGTATACAGTAATATGGCAGCCAATGCCAGTGTAGAAAATCTACATATGTCATGCTAGTGGTTAAAGTACCTAGTAATATAGTATATAAAGACCAAGAATTCTAGTTACTCTTGCAAAGAAGGCTGGTGTTGACAACACAAGTTTATCATACACTCCTGAACAATGTTGATCAATTGTACATAGCCAGGTTCCAACATTTCTAAGAAAATTAAGAAACTCCTATATATCAAATGTTCAAATCATCCATAATCGATCTTACTTTGAATTAAATTCAAAACATATTCTCTGAAACTATTTCGATATAAAATTGGTTGCTGCCCTATAGCCTTAAATCCTAATAATGAATTTGAATATAGGATCAGTACTAGGCACAAAAAGTAAAAGATCAATCTTATATTGGAATAATTTTGGTATTGAAGATGGCTGTCATCTTATAGTCTCAAGTTTTAGTGATGGGTTTGAATATAGGATCAGTACTAGACACAAAAGATAAAAGGTTGTCCTCATTTTGGTATGGTTTAAATAGAAAGCAGTTTAAGATCATCAATAATTTATAACAGTCCTTCACAAATTAATAGCACAATCATATACCCACCTTTCTTGATATGTGATAGTTTTAATATAATTTTTCTGTTACAGCTTGAAGGGTTTTATAGGCAAACTAGCATTAGACTTATTAACTTTGTGTTATATAAGAGATGTCGTTACTTTCTTTATGTATAAATTATATAATTTGCAAGTAATAAAGTAATATAATTTACCTATATTAAAAAAAAAAATTTTTTTATTTAATAAAGTTTTTAAAATATATTATTAAATTTTTTTAAAATCTAATTTAAAAAATTTTTTTAAAATTAATTTTATATAATATAAAAATAAATCAATTTTAATGATATTTTATAAACTTTTTATCTTTATATTTAATTTTTTTAACAAGTATTAAATATAAAACTTTATTTATTATTATTTTTTTTTTAAAAAAAACAGGCAGTCCTTATGTTTTATTTTTATTTAAATATAAAACATTATTTAAATATTATATTCACATATTTATATTAATAATCTTATTATGTAATAATTTAATTGTAGCTTATTTTATTAATTAAATATATCAACTTTAGGACTCCTAATAATACTATTTCAATATCACTTTGATACTTAAATTTACTATAAAATCATATAAGTAGGTCACAATCCATATATTAAATTTACTATAGACTAGTACTATTTTAATACCAGTTTGATATCAATTCAGTATTTTTCAAAACTCTAATTAACTTATATCTAAAAGATAAATTTATATATTAATAGAAATTAAAATTTATTAATTTTAAATTATCTAATTTTAATTTTTAATATAAAACAAAAATAATAACTAAAGTTTCAAACCAATATTAAAATAATATTAAAATAGTTTTTTTTTTTTAATAAATATAAGTTCTTTATTATATGTATATACTAAAATATAATTATAAGCAAGAATTTACATCTCTTATAATATATAAGTTAAATGCTAGTTTACCAAAATATCTATCTAAATTATATTAGAAAAGAAAATTTAAAACTAATATAATATCTATATAGTTGTATAACAAGTCATATAATTTAAAGAAAAATAAGAAAAGATAAAGAAAAAAAATACTAGACACATATTAATATTAAGTAGACAACTTTTCATATCACAATTTCAGCTTATGCAATTATGGAGATAGAAGAAAGCTAATGTGGATATGTACTTTCTAGTAAATATTCTGAAATTGTAATCTTTGGTTAATACAAACTACCAAATCTAGGAATTTCAAAAGCCAAGTAGAATGTAACTTTAAAATCTTCTAATAGACACTTCAAAGAATTTGGTTAGCTTAAGCTGTCAAATATAGAGGCAAAAACTGTCAAGCAGAATGCAACTCCTACTTATTTAATAAGCCATCAGTACTGTCATATCTATGCTTATATATTAGTATTCACATCATTATTCTTTTTCAATATTAGCTAGATATGTATGCACAGGCAAGCTAGCATTTAACTTGTATGCAATGTACCTAAGAGATATTGTTTCTTTCATGAAGTATACTATATATAATACAAATCAAATAAAGAAATGATATTTACCTACAGGAAACCCCCCGAAAAATAATAGTTAACTTGGTTTTTTGAAAATTATACAATTATGTTTATTATATTTATAATAAATAATTACAAATGATAAGTACATTATATCATAAAAATTTTTTATAACATTTTAAAACTTATGTTTTAAATATACGCATGTGTCTCCTGGGAAGTAGATTCTATCAATACTACAATATATATTTTTTTAAAATGCATCACATTACATCGCGCAAAAACTTTCGAGGATACAATTGCGTTGTTGCTCAGCAATATGCTAAGTAAAAAAGGGAAGATGGATTTTTTTTTTTTTAATTTGATAAAATTATATTTCGATAACATTCCAATATTTTTTGATTCGGATCCAATTTTTAAAACGGTAGCTCAATTATGCGTAAGACAAAAAAGAAAAGGCAAGAATAAACTGTACAAAGAAAAGAGGCGAACTAAAATATAATAACATCACCCTCTGAAAAGGGGATAAAGCTAGAGCGAGCAAGGTAAAAAAAAAAAAAAAACAATAATAATAATCAATTACAAAGAAACAAAGGAATGCATTTTAGGAGGAATAGCAGAGAATACACACGCCGTTCGCAATTTTCAAACCCACAGAATGTCCATAATAATATATATAATGCAAAAAAAAAAAAAATTATGCGCAAAATGTATCTCCGCTACTTTATGACGAAAAGAAATCGAAAAATACCTAAAGTCTTCAAACTCAATTGTGTCGGAGAATATATAAACGTTTAATATCTCATTAATCCAGAACCAGGAGGGCCTGTGACATGATTTGACATATGTGGAGGGACTTGCACATTCGTCATTGACATAGACCCTTGAACTCCACTGGACATGCCCGAATTTGCAACCCCACTTTGCACCATCCCCATAGGAACACCGTTTGGCCCAATATTCATCCCATTCATATTCTGTGGAATTCCCTGAGAGTTTGGCTGTATCGAATCCAACCCCATTACACCATTAGCTTGTGCAATCGGACAATCTTTATGCGCAAGCAACAAGGTTTTTAAATTGATGATTTCTTCACGTAAAGATTGTGCTTGATTTTGTAAATTCTCATTATCATTAGTCAAAAATTCCACCTTGGATTGTAAATTCGCAAGCCACTGCTTCTTACGCTGACGGCACTTGAGGGCAGCTGTTCGAACAGATTCGAGTTGTGAATATAAATAATGCAAACCAAACAGATTTCGATATATAATAATAACCTCAAATATTCATAAAGTAAAGCAATAATGAGATATCATACCTTGACGATTTCTCTCTAAAAAGTTCTTTCGTTTCTCTTCTTCAGTCATTTCATTTTTTACTTTTTGACCACTCTTCTTTGAGGAAGGTTGTTCATTAATGAGTGGTTCCTCTGCTTTTCGTCTCGTACCGCGAGCTCCTGACTTTAAAGAGCTTGAACTGTTAATTTTGGAAGAAATAATAGATTCTTCGTCCATGGAATCCGAAAGAGAAGATGCTTTATGTGTCAATAGACTTGAATTTATGCCGTTAGATTGTCGCCCATTATTCAGAGCATTTAGGGTGTTATTAGTTTGAGATGAGAAATCATCTTTTTCAGTTTTTGGCATGATCGTTTCCGAAATCAGCGCATTACTTATTGTGTCCTGCGTTGACGCAGCAAGCATATTACGATTGTTAATGGTAGAATTACCGACGAGAACATTTTGATGTCCGATCATTGATGATGATGAGACCGAAGTTCCATTTGACATATTTAAAAGACCAGTTGAGGGCAACGTGGTGACTCCAGGTTGTATTACACCTGATTGCGTTTTTGGTACAGATACGGAAGTAACGGAATTCGTTGTAATTTTACGCTCGGAATCTGTGAGCGTACGAGGAATTCCTTGAGTAAAAACATTACGACCATATGGGTCGGTTGCATTTGCAGTAGTTGACAAAGATGTCACAGGGAGAGCAGGATTAATGATAGAAGTGGATAAGTTACCAGCGACTCCAAATAATGCGGCGGATCTAGGCGAAGGTTCGGCAAAAGAAGTGAAAGGGAGTGGAGTTGTCCCTGTGCGACCTGGCGGAATACTATCAAACATGATATTTTCTTGAGGACCTGCTAGCATGGAAGGTGATAAAGCACCGCTTCGCAAAGATTGTAAATTCCAACCATATTCTTCATTTGATGGGAGGCTAGGACTTTCTATTTGTGATACTGGAGGCAAACTGGGTTTTGGACTATTTGTTCCCACACTATCTGAGATTGGTGCGACACCCGAAAAACTTTGTTCAAATGGATTCGGTTCCAAATCAAGTTTCGAACACGCAGCAAGAAAACGCGTGGGGGTTTGATCAATGGTAGGAGGAGGAAGATCTTTCCCCGGAAACTTTGTAGTTGAATTTTTAGATGGCGAGGAAGTTGGATTTTCATTTCTCAATTCAGGGGATCTTTCCGAAGTCGGAGTAGTTATCTCTGAATCTAAAATCAATTTCAAGCAATTGAAATCTTAACAAACGACTCCTAGAACTATCGAACTTCCGTTCCATTCAGACAGGAACTTACCTTCACTTTGTGTGTCTGATGATAATTGCACATTATTCGCAACCATATTTTATATATGTGTGTATATGTATAAAATAAAACAATGTATCTAATAAAAGAATTATTGACAGGTGAAAGGGTAAGTACACTTTGACAGAAGGTACCAATAAGAACGAGAAAACCAAATCGAACTCGCGTTACCTCTTTTACAACACACGACTTAAAGTATAAAACTTTCACGCAGAAGAATTTTTTTTTTTCTTATATCAAAAAAAAAAAAAGAAAAAAATTTTTTTATAGAGATAAATAAAATAATGTCGAAAGGACTGATCGACTTGATAACTTTCTGGAGTCCTAAAAAGACGATTGTCCTAAAGTACACCCATACCGTTAGTCTTATACTCAGCCTAATTTGCACCTGGGATCTTTATTGACCATAGAATGGTTAATTTGAAATAAAGTGAAAAACAAACTGATTAGGCGTATTGAAAATCGAGGACGAACGATTTAATAATTCTGAAACAAGTTTCGATTGAAAAATTATGTAACCTCATACCTGTTTGTAAGAGGAAATACGCAATATTTTGTAGGTAAAAATAACTGTGGGAGCAGTAAAACCAGAAGTGAGACCGAAAGTGACCAAGTATTCTAATAATCAGGGATGTGGTTAATAAAGTAAGAATGACAAATGAAAGCTTTATGTGAAAACTCACCGTCTACAACACAAAAAAAAAAGGGTCACTCAGAATGTGGCAGAACAAAAAAGAAATGCCACAACCTACCCCCAAATTACAGATACGTACACAGCCGACTTTTTTTGTTAAGTAGGACCAAAAAACGAAAAAAGGGCGGGTGTTCACTCAACATCACATGATTACTACCATATGCATAGTATACTGCTTCGGAATACAACAAACTTGGTTCGGAAGGTCAGTGATATGTTCCGTAGTCACATACTTTTACAATAGTATCGATACATTTAGTGGTGTGCACATGTTTTTCAGGAAAAAGTTACACAAATTCATTTTCTATGTAATATGATGTATTTTATAAAAAATCTTTATCTCACTATTACCCATGTAGTGACCTAACATTTACGTCATAAGTTTATTAATTTACCTTATCGGGAGGTGATCTGGTTTCACACCCAAGCGACTTAATGTGAAAGAATGTTGACATAAGCTTCTTAAAATATACTTCATAAAAAATACTGTATGTATTTGCATTATTATTCATAACTCTCCGTTAAGGTTACCTGTGTGTACAAATCATCGACATTATCGTTATGGACAATGTGTAGCATAGCCATTGATTAGAACCTACCATAGAGTTGTCACACATGACACAAATTAATTAGTTTCTATTTGAGAAAAAAGAAATTTACTCAGGGTTGAGAATGATAAGAACGGTGGCTGACGAACGACGAAGCAGTCCCATACTCGACAATTCCGGGAAATTTATAATTATCCAGTAATTTTCAACTACTCCAGTTCAAAAGAATCAAGGGTTGTGTCACAGGTTAGGTGCAGAGCATTTTATTGTAATAGCCAGAATTCGTAAATTGTATTTGACAATTTTATTTTGATTACGATGTCGAATAGAGTTTTTTGTAGATTTTCTCTATTTTAAATTCTTTTATTTCGTTGCTTTTTAAATATGATTCTAATAATATATTTCATTCAAGCATATTGAAATATGATTATATTTCATTCGTTAATTATTTTCGTTTAAAGTCAAGCAAAGTATAATGAAATAATATATAAATTATTTTAAAAAATGTTAAATTAAAATTAATAATTATTTTTTTTTTATTAATTTATTGTATACAGTATTTTTCTTTCAAAATACAATATATTTTCATTAATAGTATATTGATAGTTATGAAATTTTTAATATCAATAATATATTGTTTTATTATTATTATTAATTCTCAATTAGATTAATATTACTTGTTTTATTTTTTTCTTTCCTATTCTTTCTTGAGAACAGGAAGTAGCAACAAAGTCTAGGTCCTATTCCAATCTGGTAACAAGCTGAAGTACCTCACCTACGACAGATGCAGTTGGGACTGGACCTCGT